CGCCCTACACAACTCACCTGTATTGGTTGGATACTGTAGCTACTAGTAAAGCTCGTATAAACGACCCTTGTCATTAGGCAGCAGAGCTGCAGGGTTTATATACACTGTGGCACATAGGCTGACTAAGCTACATGGAATATCTATAATCCTACTGAGCTCCACCTATGATGTCACTGACCCACATGAGCTCCGTGCCCTGCACAATAATGGAATATACCAGAATGTTCCAGAGGGTTCCGGTACATTCTGGTACTTTGTAGAACCTGGCGGCTAAGTCAGCACCTAGTTCAACAATATACACAGTGGCCCATAGGCTGACTATGTTAGGTTTTGGTTGTATTGGATACAGAGCCACTGGGACAAATAGGTACAAACAGCTTGACTATGTACTGAGCCACTGTATTTCCTTTGTTCCTTAGTCCGTGCAATTGACCTTGCCTTCGGTTTGTGTATGTGTCTGGGCCTGGTGTGCTTATGGCCACTCATCTTATGCTTCCCTGTTCTGCCTGCTGCTAACAGACTAAGCTACCTGGAATATCCTTAATCCTACTGAGCTCCACCTATGATGTCATTGACCCACATGAGCTCCGTGCCCCACTTGTATCTCTGTACAGTTGGTGGAATATACCAGAATATTCCAGAGGGTTCCGGTATGTTCTGGTACGTTGTAGAACCTGGCAGCTAAGTCAGTGCCTAGTTCAACAGGTGCGCATTTACAGAGTAGATTGAAGCGGAGCTTAAAAACGCGAGTTCAACAAAGTCACGTGCTGCCTAAACGCGTCTCACGATGATGCGACCTCGGTCTGAGCCTCTCGTTTGTTTTGCAATTGTTCAATGTCCCTAAGTACCTATTTCCGGTCCCTGAATACCCCCGACATACTCTGTTGGCCTTGAGAGCAGCACAAAGGCACGTACCTGAGTGTCCCTTGTTGAACTAGGCGCTGACTTAGCTGCCAGGTTCTACAACGTACCAGAACATACCGGAACCCTCTGGAATATTCTGGTATATTCCATTATTGTACAATGGCACGGAACTCATGTGGGTCAGTGACATCATAGGTGGAGCTCAGTAGGATTATAGATATTCCACGTAGCTTAGTCAGCCTATGGGCCACTGTGTATATAAACCCTGCAGCTCTGCTGCCTAATAACAAGGGTCGTTCATACGAGCTTTACCAGTAGCTACAGCATCCAACCAATACAGGTGAGTTGTGTAGGGCGCACTGTGCGTGCTGCTGCCTCCATAACTCTTCATCATCCCTGTCTCCGCATGGCTCAAGGATGTGCTCTATGCAGAGAGTCAAGCTCTCTGGCATCCTGATGTCCCTTCAGGGTGAACTGCATGCGTGTTGCATCGCGGATGTCCCGCGGGGTCCGGCCAGTTGTTGATTGAACATGCCTCAATAGCTTCTGTGGACATTCTTCACATATCTAGGCCTGTAGAGTGGAAGGGGGTATGTTATTACATTCAGGTGAGATTAAGGTATGTCTATACCAGTAATATTTGTGAATGGCATGGGTATCACGATGCGTACCCATATTGAACTACGCGCGAAGCCGCATTGAACGGGTCGGCTACGGATACGCGGATTTCGCTTTCGAGAGCGCGTTAAACGACACCTTCTGGAATCTGGATACCCAGCACGGGTACAGTCAAACACAACTCGTACCCGTCCCTGCCCATTTGGTTCGGATGCCTCTGCCCCGTGATGGACCAGAATTATCTCTTCCTGAGGACTGCTTGAGCCCTGGTCACTCATGGTAGGTGCCATTTCTGCTTCAAGTCCTTCTTCTAGCTGGTTTCAATGTAGATGCTGAGGATACATAGGCCCAATGCAGGACTGTAGATATGGGTCTATATATTCATATTTGTAGCCCATGCCATGCATTCTAGATTTGTGCATTTGTGCAGTCAACTCATAGTTATATGACCAAATGAAGTATAAATTATCTCTAATTGAGGGTGCATAAGTGCTATTTAATGCTACCATGTATAATTTAGACATGTAATGTCAATAAGATCCATCATTCACTCTTTGATAGAATTAGTTCTTAATTATATCTGATTTGCTCGGAAGGTTTTCCTGATGTGAAAGGACTCGACCTCCTTATCCAGCGGTCAGAGCGTTGTGATGTCAATTGTAAGTGTCCCTCCGACACCGATTTGTATTAATATTAACAGCAGAGTCAGCACCGGAATTCTCTGTCTTACCTTTAAGCCTGGGCGCTAGCGCCCACAGGCTTCAACAACTCGAACACATCTGCCATCAGCGGTGGCGTTCAGCGATATCGATCGATCATACTTTTGATACCACCACGTCGTCGTGTTTTTCTCAAGTTCCTTCCGATGCGCCAGTTCTGGCCTCGCTACCAGATGGGACGTCAGTCAAACTCTATCTACTCTTTCGGGCATAAAGCAATCACTGTATCCCTTCGGGCCGAACCAAGGCCCATCTGTCGCAGTCCCCGACTTCAGGACATGGGGCCACTTGTGAGCGTCACGGAGTACTAGTACACGACAACGTCTCGGAACTGCATCGCTGTGCGTGAGTTGATTCGTCGTGATCATCAAGAGGATAGTCACAGACGGCCACCGAATCTTGCTCTCGCAACAATAAAATTTTGCTCGATCAAATACAAGCTTCATCATACAGCATTAAAGGTATCTCGGTGCTATGAGTGGTGCAAGCCATGGCTCTGGGCCACCATGACTCTCAGAGACATACCATGCTCGACATCTTCTCGAGATGGGCCTCGCATACACCTGAAGCGCCTTTCTTGATGATATCGCCCAGAGAGTCTCTCTCATATTCAGTGTCTTACATACTGGCTACTCAGCTCTTACCCCGCCGTCTTATGGAGCTTTGCCCTGGCCTTGGTGACGCTTCAGCCCCCCGGATTGCGGTTGTATCGCAAAATGATATTGTCTTTCCTCTTCTTCTATGGGCAATTTGGTCCATTGGAGGCGTAATGGTCCCCATCAGTGCAGGCATAGACCCTTCACTATGGCGGGATATGTTCAAAATGGCAAAGATAGACTTCGTTCTTCTTTCCGACTCTGCCAAGGACATGCTTAATGCGAGATGTGGAGACAGAGGAATTCATGCCGTTGAACAACCTATGAGCTCCGTTTTGCCTGGTGAATATCGCCTTCTGAATCCAAAAGAGGCCGGCGCGATCCCCCTGCGCTCTGCTTATGAAGGGCTTCTTGCTTGGGTATCCGACGGTCGAGGCCGCGATTTTGCGGAACCCGTTCCCAGAGTCGCCTTGCAATCATCGCAAGCCGCCCTCATACTCTTCACAAGTTCACCGGTTGCGACATCATCTTTGAAGGCTGTGGTTTATTCTCACTCGATATTGATTGAGCATGGAAGGCGCATTCTACTCTACCTCGGCGGGGAGGAATATGTTCGTTGGCCTAAGAGACACTTGGGATGGCTGCCTTTCAGCCATGTGTTTGAGCTTTGTGCCTCCTTGTTGTAAGTCCGGAAACTTTGTTTCGAATGGCAAGCTCTGATCATTCTAATAGGGGCATCGTTATTGGCACTGGAGGTTCTTACGTCTTCTACGATGCAAGGATATCATCTCCTGAAATGTCGAAGATGACCATATCCAATTTGCTGCTGCGAGCGCTGGACTATCATTACCCTGTCCAATCTTTTTGCGTGGTACCCATGATACTGCAGACTGTGTACCAAAGCATTGCAGGGAGAGATCTGGAGCTCTTGTGCTCTCTCCACTCCCTTATAGCAGGGGGCGCACCCTCGTCAAGGGAACTCGTGTCATGGGCCAAATCAAACGGCATACGATATCATGATATTGTAGGAGCCACTGAGCTCGGCGGTGCCATGTGCGGTAGACGCATCCTTGGTGAAAAGCAAGGATTCGAACTGATGGCGGGACTCATGGGTGTACTCGAAAAAGCGTGCGCGGATGACGACATTGGTGAGTTGATAATAATGGGCAAGGTGCGTCCCCTCTGTTTCTTTGCGGTTGCCGTACTTACTTTGCCATTGGTGCAGTGTATTCCTTCAAGATACGAAGTTGGAGAAAACAGCGCCTACTCTTCAGATCCAAGTACAGGAGTGATAAGCTATCGCACTGGCGACCTGTATTCTATTGGCACCGACTTTGTTGGGAAAACGATAGTCTGTGGAGAGCCGCTCCCTCAGTTTTGGGATAGCACTCCAATGTCTGGTACGAAAAGCTTGTTTATTACTCTCTCGGGGTCCTCATATTTACCAGGGATAAGCTACGTTTCCCGCATGGATGACACGGTAATTTTCCAGTCAGGCTTCAAGGTGTTTGCTCCGGACCTTGAAGACGTACTGAACCGCGAGTCTGAAGTCAGGCAGTCAGCTGTCGTGGGCAACGCCTCCCGCGATTCGCTACTCGCGATCCTTGAGCCTGCGACATCGGATCCGTCCCAACACCGTCTAATTTATCAAGCTGTGCTGCGACTGAATCGTACTCTGCCTTTCGAGGCTAGGTTTCGCACCGAGAATGTCATCCTCGTCAACGCGCTACCCATGACTACCAAGGGAACTCTTAATCGGAAGAAAATCAAGTACATGTTTGCAGATTCAATTGGTCGATGGCCCCAGGGAGGATTGGTGATCGTTGAAGAGGATCAGGGAGCGAAGGAAATTCTCGCCTGTCGTTCAAGCGGTGATATCGTTCGGGACAAACGGCTATTCCTGCGCCTCCAGGAAGTACTCGCTAAAGTTTTCAATATTGACCGGACAGAGTTCCAAGACCTCACTATGCTTCTTTCCGACCTCCCAATAACGTCTTTGGCAGTGGTCCGGCTGATGAATGAAATTAAAGGCGCCTTTGATTGTGACTTCAGTCTGTTCCAGTTTCACGAAGCGAAGACTCTGTACGATCTATACAAATTGGCCTCAACAGGGCCATCATGCTCAAATTCCCCACATGACGGCGGGATTCCGACAAAACATATTGATGACTCCTCCGGGCCGAATGACTCTCCTGCTCTGGTAATCGCCGGAGCAGCGTGTAGACTACCCGGTGGTATCGACAGTCTGGACAAGCTCTGGTCGGTTCTTTTGCATCCAGAGGACTTCGCTGCTCAATTGGGGACTGCAGCCCCATCTTCTCGCTGGAAGGCGGACTTGAATGACGAACTTCCGATGGGTTGGCTAAGCGAACCATTACTAGACGACGACATATCCTTTTCGGAATTTTTCAATATATCCCCTGCAGATGTGAAATGCATGTCCCCGAATGCAAGACTTGTGCTCCAGCTGGCATATAATGCGATTGAAGATGCTGGAATAGCTCCTCGAAGCCTGGTCGGCCAAAAATGGTCTGTCTATACCAGCACCAACGACTCGTGTTGGCGAGAAATGAAACAAGGCGATCCGGGTCCTGAAGGTGTGTCCTCAACTTGCACTCGCCTCCATACCTGACATATAGCTACCATAGCCTACAGCAGAACCTTGATCGGGGCGGCGTCTGACTTAGCAGGGGCAAGACTCTCCTATTTCTTAGACCTGAGAGGCCCCGCGATCGAAGTGAAGACAACCTGCTCAAGCAGTGCCGTTGCCGTTCACCAAGGTCCGTCTACAGATGTTCCTTTTACACGAAACCATATCTAAAACTGCGTCGAAGCGTGTTCCGCCATCAGAGCGGGAGAGTGCGACGGCGCAATAGTAGTAGCTGCTGTTACACATTTCTCGCCTGACGCGGCCAGAATTCGTAGGAATACTGGTATAGGGTCCCTGACAGGCAGAAGTCTGCCGTTCTCGAAGGACGCCGATGGATTTCTGCCTAGTGAAGGGGCCGCCGCTTTAGTCATTCAGAAGAGCTCTGACTGCGTGACTCCACCATATGCAATAATTCGCGCTACGGCTCTCGGACAAGACGGGAGGTCTCACGGGTTCTTCTCTCCGAACGGCGTAGCGCAAGCAAAACTTCTTATGTCGGCTCTCAAGAATGCTCAATGTACTTCTGATGATATCGGATACCATGAAGGTATGCATGGTTAGAATTGACATTTTGCTGTGAATGCTCCTGATTCTCTTGCCCTGTAGCTCACGGCACTGGTACGCCTGTTGGTGATACAATTGAACTAGAGGCCATAAAGCGGGTATACGGGTCTTCGCGAAGTCATCCACTCCTTGTCGGATCTGTGAAAGGCGTCATTGGCCACACGGAGGAATGCTCTGGGATAACAAGTACGATCTCCATCTCGTCACTGAAAAATTGCTAAGATGACGTTCACAAGGCATACTGAAAGTCATACTGTGCTTCCAAAATAATGTCGTCACGCCACAGCCAATGCTGGAGTCGCTCAATCCTTCCATTGCATCCACTCCCAACATCGTCATAGCTCAGCGGGTGGAGCCGTTCGTGAAACACCATGGTCCTCGCCTCTCCTCATTGTCTTCTTTTGGGCTTTCTGGAACTCTAGCGCACATTATTCTGCAAGAATGTGTGCCAGCCCCACGTGCAATTACCTACCCATGCGGCACCGCACCCGAAGTCTTCATTGTATCTGCAAAATCTCCTGACTCTTATATCTGCCTCCTCAAAGACTTGGTAGCTCACTATCGCAGCGCACACTCTCGACGAGTCTCTGTTGCCCGTGTGTGTAGGGCATCACAGACAAGTCGAGATCAGCAGTACTTCAGAAATGCTTGGCATGTCAAGACATGGGAGGAGCTCCTTGCGTTGTGGAATGAAGCATTAGACGTCCCTGTTCCGAAGCGATGCATATACAAGCCCGCATTGGCCCTAGTGTTCAGCCTCCCGCATTTCAAAAGCAGGCTCCCTGAGATAAACACGAGTACCTATCATGACACTGTCCTCGAATGCACGACAAATGACTGCTCACGCGATGTAGAGTACTTCGCGAGGCAGCTGGCTGTCGCGAGAGCTCTAGTCGCTCTGGGCTGCAACATCTCCATAGTGTCGGGGGAGGGCCCGGCAGAGCTGGTCGCTGCCGCCTTTGCTGGAATCCTGGAGGCATCCACCGTATTCAGGTTGCTGGAGTCAGGCAGAGAGACGACACGACGCTCATATATCGTCAACGTGGGTGAAGAAGACGCAGAGCTGCAGGCCTTGCGGTACGCACCAGGCGACGTGGATGTTCGCGGAATATATGGAACCCAGCATACCTGTCTAGCGGTGAAGGATGAGGTGCTTCCGAGGCTGAAAGAGACGCTGGGGGGCAGCAGCATTAAAGATGCATCCTGGCTGTTGAACATCGAGCTAAATCAGATCTCGGAGGTCACTGTTGCCGATTCTTCCATTCTCCTGGCCTCCTCCCATCTGACCTGCGTTGTGGAGGCGAGTCTCCTTCAGTCCCCGATCTATTGGGACGGCCTGTCTGAGAGGTCTTTCAATATGAGAAGCACATGCGATTTTTTGGCGAGTCATTGCGACGTTATATTGGACCTCAACAGCCGAAGCCTGCTTCCCACCGAAGCTCACAACATGATGGATCTACACGATGGGTTAGGACATGTGCTGGCTGGACTTTTCCAACTTGGATGTTCGATTGAATGGCATCAATTGCACCCCTCTCCTCTCCCTATGCCTCGTCTGCCCGTATATCCATGGACCAAACGGTAGGGATTCTGAGCTTGACGTGTACCGATGCTGCTCTCGATATTACAGTGAACCGCTTATGTAATGCACCGCCCCTGTCCGACAAGTATTTGAGCCATAACTCATGAACTGCTGCATATTTCTCTTTGGTGTAAAGACAAAGATTGTAGTACTTTTTGAGCTCTATTGAACTGTGCAACCATTGTCAAGAGCGAACTTGATCATGTTTCACTAGGAGGCATTCAGTACTTGTAGTCAAAATCTATCTTCAGAAGCAAGGGGGGAGGTATAAAATGACTACACAATAAAACTCTCCATGAGATTCTGTGTATCTGGGAGCCCAGAATTGAGGAAATTGACTACATGGTTGCAGAGATATGAGGCCAGAAAGTTTGGATTTTGGTGGAAGATTTCAGAGTTTTACACCAAAACCCCCAACTTTCTGCACACATATCTCCACAATGGTGTAGTCAACCAGGCATGTTCCGGGATCGAAATCACTCGGAATGTCGAGCTCTTTCTAGCTATGAGTATACCAGAACCATTGGAGGGAGATCTACACATAATTTGAAACCAGTCCCCATTGTATCTGGCCTCCTTTTCAGCCATAATACAGCAGAATATCTTGGTAATTCTACCATGATATAGAGGAAAATCAGTACTGCAGGTTTACATTTTACACCAGGGTGGTGAAATGCTTTTACGGTTCATTGTAAACTCCTCTAAACTTTATTTTGGCTTGCACCTAAACAGCCCAGGTCCCAGGCCTGATTAGGCTAGCTCATCTGACCCCTGGTCAAGCCTAACAAGGCTCAGGATTGCTTGTTGACACCAGTGGTCATACTGGGGTTTGGCACTGCCTTAGTACAACCAGTGTATACTATGTATTAGTACTATAATACAGAGTGTTGCTTGTAGCTACTGCTGATAAGCCTCAGGATCGTCTGACCCCAGAAAACGCGGACTCAGCGCATCGTACAAGCCCTCCGGAGCTTATTCGACACAGCGCTCACACGCCTCTAGGCTTCTATGGGCTCTAAAGCCTTGCTCTGTTTTAGCTCCGGACTTCCTAACATCCTTCAAGCGTACACGGACCCATTCCATGATTTATCTCCGTGAACAGGAGCTCCGGAGCAACTTAACCAATGCAACGTCTAGATGAATTAGCTCCGGGGCCCGCGGGCACTTCTATCGAGGGGCATCATCCTCATGCCCACCCTCCAGCACTGACTCCCCCTCATTTCCATCAAGATACCGAAGGTGCGGACACATACGGGTCACCATGAGGTCAGCATCAGTCAGCAAGCGGCCGGAGGTAATTAGCACATGACCGGCGCATCACACGGAGTGATGGGATCGCTTGGATCAGGTGGCAGAGCATCAAGGTGACCTCTAGGGGTTGGGACAAGCAAGTAGGAGTGCAAGGGAGTCGTATGGTACATGGTATAGCGGCGGCAAGTGCTGAGCAATCCTGTGGGTAGCGGCGGTTATTTGTTATTTATCTCCGGACGGTCGCAAAGCCATTCCTGTAGTATAAATTGTACAAAGTAGCGTACAGAAAAACAAGTTTTGACTTCCGCATCTCAGAGAATTAGCGTTACGATCTCAGCGACCCGAGAAGTTCGAAAGCGTTGAACTTAGCAAATTATAACCGATCCTAGCTTGCCAATAGGCCTGACCTGTCGAGTGAATTATCTCCGCCATCGATTTAATTAGCTCCGGTGAGTCTCACATAGCGGAATAAAATTAAACAAGTCCTTTTAGCGTTTTCTACTCCCGTGGGCCCGAACCTACACTCGGTTCCGTGGTTTGCGACTTTGTTTGCAACTTTTCAGAGATAAATACTCCGGAGCGTCCACTAGTGTTTGTTTCAGGCGTCAACGTTTTTGTTTTATTTTTCTAGGTCTTCTTACGGACTACCCTATGGCGTCTTACTCCTCCTTTCCCCCTCGAACTATTAAATCCCCTTCAGTTGTCTCAGACCGCCTTCACCCACATCACGGGGTTTAGGTTTATTTCTTTTGGTCCTTGGTGATTGTTGTGTGTCTGTGCATATCACCACATACGTCATCAGGTGACATTGGCCCTTGCCGATCTGCCTAATCAGGCAATCAGAGCTCCTCCCGCCGCCCTCCCTGATGTCATGAATGACAGCGTGCTGCAGCATCACTGTGGTGGGAGAAAAATAACTGTATATTACCTTGTATAATTTACATATAGGGCTATTGAGCACCATCAGAGTGATGCAGAATGACACAGTAGGTGTTGCCCAACATTCTCCTCATTGTCAGTGGCAGCAGTGCCGCAGCCTCTAGTATATGGACTCTAGCATATTCGGTAAAATCATGGATTAATTATATGGTATTCTACATGACTATATACTGTCTATTGTCCTGGTAAAGTGTGTGCCCAATCGAAGAGGGAGCGAATATAGATATCTGGCATGTCAGGCACATGACAGAACATAAGTGGGAACTCGGAAAATGTGCACCTGATTAAATATACAAACAGGTCACCATTTGGGTATATATAATCTGTATACACAGCAAATTAGATGATCAGAGAAGTGTACAGGACATAGGGGAATAGGCACTTACCTGGTAGAGATGCAATTGGGGTACCCAGATCAATGGAGCGGTTAGAAGTGCTCCAGTTATCGCGAGTCTAACACAAATAGCATACTTAATGCAGAAACATGCATAATTTCCTCAGTCCATGAGACTCAGGAAGTGAGAAACTGTGATGATCCTGGGAGGATGTCCACTGCATTAGTCACCTCAAGACAAGGGAAGGGAATCCATGGAGTATGGCAGGGTCACTCAGCACCTACCTCTCCCAGATAAGGTGGCAACTCGTGACCAGCGAGGCTTGGGTGATGCAGGATGGTGCTCGGTGCCAAAGCAGTATACCTGGAGAGATTGGTGTCTAGTGATCAAACATGCTCAGGACATCGTACGGCACCAGTCCAGACCACATATCATTGATTATAAGAGATAATCTTATACCCCATGACCATGTAAGGACTTGCAGAAACTGGGACAAGTCTAAGAAACTTACAGTACAGATCCAATATCTCACGAGGGTTCCCATACCCTCACTAAGGTGCAGAGTTTTGTGGAAACTCGCAAGGGTGTCCTTGTGCATTACCAGAAAGCAGTAGTAGGCTGAAGAGAGCAGAATCAAGGTGGCATCACAGCATATGTCATGGCATGAAGATGTCCGAATGAAATTCAGAGGAACGTGGCTGAAGACCGTATTGCTCATATTTTGACATCCTTTATGTGCTTCTTCCTCTCTCCTTCTGGATTCTAGCTTTGTCTGATTCTGCTCAAATCTCTGCACTCTCTGGTACCTAAATTGAGCTCCGGTGCCTTCTCAAAATTAGGTTGTCTCATTAACACCGGATTCCAGGAGTAGGTGACTTGTCTTCATCTTCATTCCTCTAGATCCGGGTGTGAGTTTCTGATGTACCTCCTCTAAGTAGAATATCACTCTATTAGCTGTCTGTGATGCTTTGCAGCTTTGTTACCATCCATGGCCCTGCAGTGCATCTTCATAAATATTTTATTACTCACTACATTGGTAGGTTCATCCCTGCTTCCAGGAAATGAACATGCCTCTTCTAAAGCAGTATAACATTCACTCTGCACTGCCTCAACTCTGGCCGCTCTTTCTTCTTCCATGACTTCTAGCAACATTGTAAGATAGGAATTGTCAGTAGGGTTCATGTTAATCATCCCGATGGCATGCTGCCCCATGTTCCATTTATGCCATTCAACATACCGATCATTGATGAAGAGTTATGGAGGCAGCAGCATGCACAGTGCACCCTACACAACTCACCTGTATTGAGTGGATGCTGAAGCTACTGGAAAAGCTCGTATAAATGACCCCTTGTCATTAGGCAGCAGAGCTGCTGGGTTTATATACACTGTGGCCCATAGGCTGACTAAGCTACATGGAATATCTATAATCCTACTTCGCTCCACCTATGATGTCACTGACCCACATGAGCTCCGTGCCTTTATACAGTAATGGGATATACCAGAATGTTCCAGAGAGTTCCGGTACGTTCTGGTATGTTGTAGAACCTGGCAGCTAAGTCAGCGCCTAGTTCAACAATCATGATCCACCGGGGATCAATCTTGGTATGTCTGCCCCACTGGGCAGTACCACTCGCCCCTGGACATCTCTCTTGATCATGCACCCAGGTCACCCGCAATAAGACACACCATCTTTCTGCCCATCCTAGGACCCAGTGCTGCTCCGGTGTTAGCACCTTGGGCAGGCTCCAGCACCTGGGTCAAGGATTTAATGGACTCGGTGAGGGTTCTCATCTCCTCTGTCTTGATGCTAGGCCGTACTACCATTGTGTTCTGTCGCAATGTTCCTGGTGGCGCAAAACAGTCAGGTGATATGGCATGGGGTCTACTATGCTGGCTGTACCCAACAGTATAAAGCCCACTGGCTGGTAGTACTCCTCCAATGTATAGAAATCAGTGGGGAGTTTCTGGGGGTAAACAAGTTGCAAGCATTGGGCCACCTTGTCATAGAAAGGGTTTGGCAGTCCTGGCTTGAACATCCGCGCCTGTTCTCCCTTTGAGAAATCATGATTCTTGGCCACGTGATTGCTATAAACTTGTGGTAGTAGTTGGTTAACTCTGATAGCGGATGAATCAATCCTCTCCAGATATGATCAATGAGTACCTCCGCATCGTCCACAGTATAGCAGCACTTGGGATCAGTCACTGTCAGGTATAGCGAGAGGATCTCCTGCTTGAGGTCCTCATATGTTCTCACATCATCGGTCGCTGATTCCAAAGATCGCCAAAGATTCTCTACCTCCGTCAAGATATACTTCAAGGTGTAACATTTCTTCTGCTTCTCCTCCTCCAGGTTCACTGCATCGAACCATTCTTTGAAATCTTCAAACACTGTGGGCCCCAGAGAGGGGTAAATTCACCATGTTCATAACCCATAAAGTTAGTTACCTTAACCAGGTTAAATGGTGATTTTCACCAGTGGGTGGTACTTTTCCCCAGGCTTCCTGGTAGATCATAATTCCACCTTTATATGACCGGTGTCACCATGTCGGTCTCACGGAACTATGCAGGTGAAATTCACCCACAATCATGGTGAAAGCTCATTTGTTCAATTTCCCTGTGATCCCTGGTGATTTCAGCCCATTATCATTATTTCATAGAGCTCTAATGGTCATAAAAATTTGATAAAATGTGATTATATTGCTCTACTACATATAGCAATGGATTACAGCTTGCTTATACTACCTTATAGCTGATATTCTGCAGCGACACCTTCCTTGGGCTTGCCTCAGAGCCTCCGTACCAATCAATGATATGCCCACAATCAGGAACAAGAGCAGAGCACCTACCTTGATGCACACAACCACCTACACTCAGCCAAAGCCTTACTGTCTGTTACAGGTAGATGCCGCCATCACACGCAATCGGATAACCTGAAAGTCTGATGCACAAAAGCACTTGAGCGGGCACGAGATGCTACTGAGGGCAACCGCGCAGGTCACTCCCAGCATGCTACTGTGCTTAATCAATGTTAGAGAGGGAAGTTAGTGTTACCACACCATACATAGGGAAAACCAAACTCACCTGGCTTGATGACAGTTTTCGTCTGCTTGACAACCCTGCCACCCATCTCCACATCTAGATATTTGATGTTCACTTGCACTGTGACATTCGTACTGCCACATATGTTGGAGCACATACCTTTTGTATCCAGGACATTGAGAGTGAACGGACAGACTCACCAACCAGGTTCCCGTCGGCATCCTTCAGTCGAGACATTTGCATGTCCTCATCATTGTTGCCCAGTGTCCTGCAAAGCGCAATCAGTAGCAACTACGGCTAGAACGCGACAATATTGACCATACCTTAAGTTATTGATCGCAGATACCGAACTCCTTTTCACGCATTCCCTAGACCAGACTGAGACCGACAGTTACCCAGAATCACTTAACAGTTCAGTGCCATCCGTCATGTCCTGCCCTTTCAGATCCAAAGTACAGAGGCTCGAGAAGAGAAGAAGAGAGCTCCCGCCGCAAGTGTCAGAGGTGGTGGTAGTCGCGGTTCAAGTTGAGCGGAGCAACGCGTGCGTCATAAGGCTCCGTTCGGATGCATGGCCGCGTCGCGGCCAACGACGCCAAAACAGTCTTTCAGCCAATCGCGTCTCACTAAAAGCACTGCCACGCGGCCGAGCTGGCTGTGGCGCCTTGAGAGCGCCGCGACGCGGCCGTGCAACCGAACGGAGCCTAAGTGGGGCTGGCCGTTTGTTGATTTCCCACGGTACCGCATACTACGCAAATCGCGACTTAGCACATTTCACATTTAACTCGTACGCGTACATGAGTACTTGGCAAGTGAGTCGGTATGAAATGTATTTAGTGGGCGTAGTCTCAAACATTAACATTATGCACTGTTGGAATATACCACTTATTGTTCGTGAATTTATAGGGTAACGTTAGGAGCAATGACTTCACGTGGTGATTTTCACCTTTGCTTTGGGTGGCGTGAAGCTTCACATTTTGCGCCGGGGTAAAATCACCCAAAATCTGGGTGGAGTAGTCAAGGTGGATTCACCCGTATAATCACCAGTACCCACTTATTGCGAGCGAAGCGAGCAATTCTTCACTAGGGGCAGAAGTCCGCGACAAACATGTACAAAGTCTACTCCCGGTGGCTGAGGGACCCACAAAGACCAAGCACCAGCAGCAAGTCGCTACAGAACACATAATGTATCCAAAATGAAGCTGGAAAAGCTCTCATGCTGTCTCTAATTTCTCCTTGCACTGTTGGTACATAAAAAATAGTAGCAAGGTAGAGGAGATTTTCTGCTACCGCGACGTTCGTGGGTTTGTGCTGCAAACCGTGCTACAACCTAGAGACGCGTGTCGCCACGCCACACCAAACGCTTCGCGAGCAACTCGGCGCTAACTGCGCATCTCTAGTAACCCACTTTCTGGGTGATTCACGAATTTCACCCGGTTACCAGGTGAAAATACCCGTCCCTGGCGTTCACAGTGAAAATAATGTACCACAGTCCATGGTTGCTTTGGATTGAAGGTGGATGCCTTTTCGGTGGCCCGTGGTCTCCCGCCCCATGGCCAGAAACGCGTCCAGGGACCTGGACCTCTCGAAACCGACAGAGCTCTCCGAATTACGGCGTCCGCAAGCTCATCGTCTAGGTCGGCCTGGTATGCTCGTCGCGCTTTTGGGTGCACTTATCTATGAAATCACTCCGTTCCACTTTGACAGTTCGCTCCTGCTGCAGTATGTACGGACATTCACCCACTGAACTGGAGTCCCCGATACGGCGTCCTTGGTCTCCCCGAGGGCGTCATTCTATCGAGCTCCGATCTCGTGGAATCTTCTACAACCACATCCTACTCACCGAGCGGTCAAAATCAAAGCGAAATATGTAGCGAGCAACGAGAACGCTAATATAAGGCAGCACATAAACCTATATAACCCCCATGGGACTCGCATTCTGGGCTTTGCGTGCCAACCTGGGCATCACGCGATCCGCGGGTTGATGTCGCGTTCGCCCCGGCCGGATCTCAGGCATTAGCGCTGTTTATGTGGCAGTGATACTGCATGCACAACAAGTCTTGCACCCCGGCCGGTCCCTATATCGCGCGTTTTCTCTCGCGGTTTGTCGTGCCTGCTCTGTCTTGTCTTCCGTGCCTGGGGGAAGGGGAGGGCTACGGTCACCCCTGCTGAACCCTCAACGTTGCCTCAACCTTCGGAGGTGACGGGGTAGACCTCAGTGCTTCGCTGGCGACCTCTAATGTTGGTGATGGATCGACGTCCTACCCAGGAATCTACCCAATTCGTCGACCAATCTTCGAACGACGTGCTAATTTGAGAATAACACTATTGATGATCCCACCTACTCTATCATAGTCTAACTCTTCGAAATACGTCCTCCGGCATACACTATTAACGATATTTTTACCCCATCCCCGGCGATTATACACTACAAAAGGGAAGCCGCCGGACTAACTGTGCTGAAGACGTCTTGTCGAAGTCTCCCGACATATTGGGATCCCAACGATGATCCGCTACTCCGGCTGGTTATTCCGTCGACGTCCATAGTTGTTTGTTCATTTCTAGCGCACTCTCGCCTTTACGCTCAATTCTCCTGGCTCTCCCAACTGGCCGAGGCCTCGTAAAACTGTAATGATCGACCTGAGTCTTGCTTTCTCTTGAGATACTCTGCGCTGCTACTGCAATCGCTTCATCCCCTCCACATTGTATAACACCGTACCTAACGTGTGAGCCAACAGATAGTGGCACAAGTCTGCTGCAAGTGCGGTATGACATGGTGGCTGGCCCGGAGAGGGAATAAGTATTCGGCTCGTTTCACTCGGACATCCGTCGAGCGAAACTCGTCTAAGCGTGAATCGAAGCTATGGTAAGTTCCTATAGTCTCCCGTATGTGTCCCTCTATTAAGGTTTCAGCACCGACCACTACGTCCGCAACTCGCTCGCGAATGGATAGTCGATATAACCTCGAGGACTCTCGTCAATGTAGAACATATCCCGCGAATACGGCGTCAAAGGTATATTCTTCAGCAGCCGGTACGGTAGGTCCGGCTGCAAATCCGACTGCATCGTCAGTACGCCCATACCGTCCACGCCGAGGAAACTCACATTGGAAATGAAGTATCTCCCCCACGCTGTCAAATAATCATACTTCTCCGCAGCCTCAATTGCCATCTCTCTTGTATACCCACCCGCGCTGATGATCACGCGGGGTGCCCAGATCTCGCGGACGAAGTCGTTCAAGTCGCCCTCGGGGACGTCGGCCACGTCGAGGTTGCCTGTCGTGCGCGGCTCGATCATGTGCAGGTACGCGAGCTCTGGGAACCGCGCACGTAGTTGTGTCACGAAGTGGGTGAACGTCGGGCGGGGGTCGGCCATGTGCATGCCCGTACGTCCCAATGCGAAATTAACGAAGCTCAATTGTGTGGGAGGAAGGCGGGCGGGCACGCACCTCCAAATGTGCCCCACGGGCTAATCCGCACCCCCGTCTTCCTCACCCCGACAACCTCCGTGATAGCCTGCACTATCTCCAATGGGAACCGACACCGGTTCTCCACCGATCCGCCGTACTCGTCCGTTCTCTTATTGCAGATGTCCTGCAGAAACTGGTCCGGCAGGTACCCGTTCGCGCAATGCACCTCCACCCCGTCAAACCCCGCCCCGTGCACCGCGTTCTTCGCCGCGGTCGCGTACAGCTGCACATACTCTTTCACTTCCGCCGTTGTGAGCGGGCGTGCTGGTGTGGAGGAAACTTCCAGGAGGAGTACGTCGGAGGAGGAGACGTACGATGAGGGAGGAAGGCCTTCGGATTCGAGGACAGCCGGGAAGGCTTGTCGCCCCCGAGCGCCCACAACTGGAGGAAGATGTAGCTTCCGCGAGCATGGACGGCTTCCACCACCTGTGGTTCCAAGTCGATAACATCTCATAATTGCGCGCAGGATACGAGATACAGGTCAATTGCCTTCCACGCAGCAATCTGCTCCTCGCTCCATATGCCCGGGACGTGCGGGTACCCGCCTGCCTTCCGCGCGATATACGTCGCCTCGGTGATGAGCAGCGTCCCGGGCATGCTCGCACGCTGAGAGTAATACTCCACTGCGAGGTCGCCGTGAACATGCTCCTTGTTCGCTCGGTTGCGCGTCAAAGGCGCGAGGACAATCCGATGTTGGACGGTGATCTCGCCAACCTGTTTGGGCTGGAATAACTTCGGGAGGGACATTGGCCTGATGAGTGGTACGAGTGTGTATTGGCACGATGTCCCGGATTAAGTGTGTTGTAAGTGAACGTTGTTCAGTTGGCTGACTGATAAAGCGCTTGCGAACTTGCTTTATAAAGTTGAGCAAGATTCGAGTGGATATGATCCGTCTCGCTGATTTATCGGGGAAGAATGAAAGCCCGGCCCTGGTTTGTGCTCACAGATATAATAAACTGACGGATTCTGTTCAATACGACAAGCAACCTCCTAGGCGGGGACAGCACTCACGAAATGCCTCGCTAAGCGTTTGGACCCGAAGGAAATAGGACCAATTGGAGCAGCCGACGTTGTTGAGGGTTATCGCAACCGGTTATGCATCTTACCCGGAGCCCGGCAGGCGTCCTTCTAACTTATAAGACACTGCCCACAACTGCTGACTGTCGCCGTTGGGAAACTCAAGCCTACTCCACCTGCAGTGAACTCTCTTC